CTCCCCAGCCCCAGCCCTAACATAGGGAAACTCACACATCTGTCCTCTTTGCTAAAATTTGGCCATTTCAAAAATGTTATAGAAATGGAGTTGTTCAGTATGTATTCTTTGGGATTGGAATTTTTTCCCCTTAGCACAGTTCCCTGGTGATTTCAACAAACTATTGTGCCTTTTAGTTTTAAAACAGTTTTACTGAGATATACTTGACATGCCATAAAATTCACCTGTTTTTTTGTGGCCAAATGTATGTTCCATGAAATTTACCATATTAAGCCTTTCTAAAGTGGACGAGAGTGGTACTAAGTGCGTTCGCAATGTTCTGGAACCATCAACGCTCTCTAGTTCCAGAATATTTTCACTGCCCCCAAAGGAAACCTCCATCCATCAAGCAATCATTCCTGTTCTCCCCTCCCCTGAGTCCCTGGCATCAACTAATGTGCTTCCCATCTCTATGGATTTGCCTATTCTAGATATTTCTGGGTTCATGCAACATTTGGTCTTCCATGCTTGGCTTCTTTTCACTTACCATAATGTTCCCAGGTTCACTCACGTGTAGCACGAACCAGGGTTTCATTCCTTTTTTGTGGCTGAATAATATTCCATTTTATGAATCTATCACACTTATCTGTCCATCAGCTGATGGACATTGTTTTCACAGTTTTCATTATGGATAACACTACTGTAAACATAGGGAAGCTACGTGGACGTGGTTTTCAGTTCCCATGTGAACACACACAGGAGTGGAACTGGGGGGCTGTACGGTAATTCCACGCTCCACTTTCTGAGAACCGGCCAAAATGGTTTTCGAAGTGGCTGCCACACTGCCCATGCTTCCCAGCAGGGCATAAAGTTCCAACTCCTCTACGTCCTTATCAACACTTGGTACTGTCCTTTTTCACTGCTGCCATCCCAGGGGTGTGAGGTGGTATCTCACTGTCCTTTTGATTGGCACTTCCCTAATGACTAATGATGCTGATCATCATGTGTTTATTAAAGAAAACATTTGCATGTTTTCTTTGGATAAATGTCTATTCAAATACTTTTTTATCTAAGTTACTTTTTATTGTTGAGTTGTAAGTGTTCTTTATAAATTCTGGATACAAGTCTCCTATCAGATATGATTTGCAAAAAATGCTTCCCATTCTGTGCGCTTTTTCATTTTCACATCAGTCTTTTGAAAGGTTTAATTTTGATGAAGTCCCACTTACATATTTTAATTTTGGTGTTTAATTTTTTGGTGTCACCTCCAAGAAGCCAATGCCTAATATACGAGGTGGGGGACCCAAAAAACCCCAGACTTATCTTTCGGAGGGTGGGCCCCTTGCAGTACAGGCTTCCCCCGCCAGCCAAGTGTTCTAGGAACCCCTCAGCATCAGTGTGCCAGCTGGCATTGTTGAAAGAGGCTGTATTTGACTTCAGTGAGTGTTTTTTTGGAGATTCTTTCAATGCATTTGTTCATTTCATGATGAGTGATTTATGGGTGCATCTCCCCAGATTGCACTGAGTGTTCAGCACTTTTTGACCAACAACTGCATGACCCCAGGCCCCACCTTCCCTATTCACCCAATCTGTCCCTGGGCAACCTTTTTTTGTTTCCCTGCATGAAAAATGTTCTCAAAGGGAAACATTTTGCCGACGTGGGAAAGATGAAACAAAAAATGGCAGAAGCACTAAAAAGGAATCAAAATTGATAAGTTCAAAAACATTTTTCAACAATGGAAAAAGTGTCTTGATAGGTATATGGCATCAAACAGAGAGTACTTTGAAGGTGACTGAAGTTTAAACATGTAAGAATATACGATTTATTACAAATAAATTCCTGGTTTTTTTGGGTCCCCCTTATAAAGGTTAGGAAGATACAGTCCTATGTTTTCTTCTCAGAAATTTAGTTCTTACATTAGTTCAATGATGTATTTTGAGTTAATTTTTATGTATAGCATGAGGCAGTGCCCAACTGCCTTTTGCATGTGAATATCTAGCTGTCCCAGACCATTTACTGGAATGACTCTTCTTTTCTATTGAACTGTCTGACATCCTTTTAAGAACATATACATCATCCGCTGTGCATGGTGGTCTACACCTGTAATCCCAGTCATTTGCAAGGTCAGGACAGGAGGACTACTTGAGCCCAGGAGTTCAAGACCAGCACAGGCAACACAGCAAGACCTCATGTCTACAAAAAAAAAAAAAAAATCAAAAAATTAGCCAGGCATGGTGGCATGTGCCTTTAGTCTCAGTTACTTGGGAGGCTGAGGCAGGAGGCCAAGATTACAGTGAGCCACGATTGCCCACGGTACTCCAGCCTGGGTGACAGAGTGAGACAATGACTCAAAAAATATATATATATGAGAGGACCTTCCCCCAAAATTGGAATTATGTTTTGGCGGGCGGGTCCCTTGTAGTACAAGCTTCCCCCGCTAGGTAACTGCTCTAGGACCCCATCAGCATCAGTGGACCAGGTACTGGTATTGTAAGAGGCTACATTTGTCTTCACTGAAATTCTTTTGGAGACTTTCTCAATACATTTGCCCATTTCGTCATGGGTGACTTACAAGTGCACTTGCTCATACCTAGTCAAGTATTCGTCAGTTTTTGGCCCAAACGGCATGATCCCTGTGCCCCACCTTCCCTGTTCACTCAATTGCTCTGAGTAACTTTTGTTTCCCCGTATGAAAAAAGTCCTGAACTTGACACTCGACCAAATGGACTCAACAGATACTTACAGATTATTCCACCCAACAACCACAGACTATACATACTACTCACAACCACACGGAGTGTACTCCAAGATCAATTATATCCTTGGCCATAAATGAAGCACAAATTCCAAAAGGTTGAAATATTGACATGCACCTTCTCAGACCACAGCGGAATAAAAATAAATATCAACACCAACAAAATTTTCCCCAAACCCACAAAGACATGGACACTAAAGAGCAAGATGCTGAACGACTACTGGATCAACACCGAAATCAAAACAGAAATTAAAAGATTCCTGGAAATAAATGAAAATGAAGAAACATCCTACCAAAAACTCTGGGATGCCAGAAAGCAGTTCTAAAAGGGGAATTTATATCTCTGTGAACACACATCAAGAAAATAGAAACATCACAAGTTAACTGCCTAACAAATCACCTAAGGGAGCTGGAAAGATATGACCAACAAAACCCTAACTGTAGCAGAAGAATCCAGATCACCAAAGTAAAAGCTCAAATACAGAACACAGAAGATAAAAATTCATAGAAAAAAATCAACAAAACAAAAAGGTGGTTCTTTGAAAGAATTAACAAGATTGATGGACTAAGAAAAAGAGAAAAAAAGCCCAAATAAATAAAATCAGAAATACAAAAGATCCAATCACAATCGACCCGAAGAAATACAAAAGATTATCAGAGATTACTATGCACACTTGTATGGAAAAAAACTTGATAACTTAAATGAAATGGAGGACTTTCTGACATCACACAACCTCCCAAGGTTGAAACAAGAAGACACTGAGAGACTATAAACAGACCAATAACAACCCAGGAAATTGACTCTGTCATAAGAAAACCACGTACAAAAAAAGAAAAAAAGCCCTGGACCAGATGGCTTTCTAACAGAATTCTACAAAATGTAAATGTAAAAGGAGGAGCTGTCACAAATCCTATTGAAAGCATTCCAGACAATTGAGAAAGATCACTTTATGAAGCTAACATCAAATCGTTTTACAAAGCTAACATCACATTGATACCCAAACTGGGTAAAGATCCAACAAAAAAAAGAGAACTAAGGCCAATATCCCTTATGAACATGGATGCAAAAATCCTCAACAAGATTCTAGCAAATCGGATCCAAAAACACATCTCAAAAATCATCCACCATGACCAAGTAGGGTTCACCCCCAGGATGCAGGCCTGGTTCAACATTCGCAAGACCATAAATGTCATTAAATACATCAACAGATGTAAAAACAAGAACCACATGATTGTATCATGAGATGCAGGAAAAGCTTTTGATAAAATCCAGCATCACTTCTTGATAAAAACCCTCAAATACCTAGGTGTAGAAGGAGCATACCTCAAAACAGTAAGCTCAGCCTGTAATCCCAGGCGTGTTAGCTCAGCCTGTAATCCCAGCTCTTTGGGAGGTTGAGGTGAGAGGACTGCTTAGCCCGGGGGTTCGAGACCAGCATGAGCAACCTGGTGAGATCTTATCTCTACAATAAATCACAAAAATTAGTTGGGTGTGGTGGCATGCCTCTGTAGTTCCAGCTACTTGGAAGGCTGAGGCAGAAGGATTGCCTAAGCCCAGCAGGTCGAGGTTGTGGTGGATGTGAGCGTGCCACTGCACTCCAGCCTGAGCAACAAGAGTGCGACTCCAAAAAAAAAGTAAGCGCCATTCATGATAAATCCATAGCTAGCATACTGCTAAACGGACAGAAACTAGAAACATTTCCCTGGAAAACCGGAACAAGACAAGGCTGCTCACTCTCACCCCTCTTGTTCAACATTGTGTTGGAAGTCCTAGCTACAGCAATTAGACAACAGAAGGAAATCAGGCGTATCCAAATAGGAAAAGAGGAAGTTAAGTTATCCCTCTTTGCTGACGATATGATCCTATACCTCAGAAATCCAAGAGAATCTGTCAAAAACCTGCTTGCACTGATAAAAGACTTTGGCAAAGTCTCAGGGTGCAAAATAAATGTGCAAAAGACAGTCGCTTTCTTATACACCAACAGCAAGCAGGCAGAGAACCAAATAAAAATCACAATCCTATTCACAATAGCCACAAAAAAATGAAATACCTCAGCATCTTCCTAACCAAAGAAGTGAAAGACCTTTTACAATGAAAACTACAAAATACTGCTCAAAAAAATCTAAGAAGACACAAACAAATGAAAAAATATTCCATGCTCATGGATAGGAAGAATCAACATTGTTAAAATGTCCATCTTACCAAAGGCAATCTACAGATTCAACGCAATACCCATTAAGTTACCAACATTATTCTTCCCAGACCTGGCTATGACAATGCAGAAATTCATATGGAAAAATAAATGACCACAAATAGCCAAAACAATCCTTAGCAAAAGAGACAAAGCAGGAGGCATCACACTTCCAGAGTTCAAACTTTACCATAAGGCTACAGTAATCAAGATGGCCTGGCATTGGTACAAGAACAGGCATATAGACCAATGGAACAAGATAGAGATTCCGGAAGCAAAACCTCAATTTCTCAACCAACTCATCTTTGACAAAATCTCCAACAACAACCACTGGGGAGAGGAGAACCTGTTCAGTAAATGGTGCTGGGAAAACTGGCTGTCCACATACAGAAGATTGAAACAGGACCCCTACCTATCACCATACACAAAAATCAACTCTAAATGGATCAAAGACCTAACGTGAAACCTCAAATTATAAGAACCTTAGAAAATGCAGGAGACACCCTTATGGAAATTGGAACTGGCAACCAACTCCTGATCAAAACTCCAAGTGCCCATGCCATTAGAGATAAGATAGACAAGTGGGACCTCATCAAACTGACAAGCTTCTGCAAAGCAAAAGAAACCAACAGGAGATCAGGGAGACAACCCACAGAGTGGGGAAAAATATTTGCCAACTGTATATCTAACAAAGGCCTAACATCCAGGATCTACAAGGAACTCAAACATGCCGAAAGGAAAAAAACAAACAGCAAAATGCAAAAGAAATGAGTAGACACTTCCCAAAAGAAGAGATACAGGCAGCCAACAGACTCATGGAAAAGTGCTCAGCCTCACTAATCATCAGAGAAATGCAAGTCAAAACCACATTGAGATACTACCTAACCCCAGTAAGAATAGCCATCATTAATAAAACAAACAACAACAGATGCTGGTGAAAATGTGAAGAAAAAGGAATGCTTCTACACTGCTGGTAGGAATACAAACTAGTGCAAACTCTTTGGAAAACAGTGTGACGATTTCTGAAAGAACTGGAAATTGACCTTTCATATGACCCAGCAATTCCCCTATTGGGAATATACCCAGAGAACTCAAATCATTCTACAAAAAAGATACCTGCACATGCATGTTTATTGTAGCACTATTCACAAGAGCAAAAACATGGAATCAACCATGCTGTCCATCGAAACTGGACTGGATTTTTCAAATGTGGTACATATACACAATGGAATACTATGCAACCATAAAAAGGACAAACATATGGACTTTGCAGCAACTTAGATGGACCTAGAGTCTATCATACTTAGTGATCTATCACAGAAACAAAGAACGGGGTACCATATGTTCTCACTCAGAAGTGGACCTTGAACAACTATCATAAAACTGTAAGAAAGGGATTGGCAGTAGTGGGAAACTGCCAGGGGAGGTAAGGGGACACAACTCATCAACAAGGCAACCTGAATAATGAACATTTGTATACCTAACCCTGAACTGTACCCCACATCTTTAACATGAAAAAAAAGAAAAAGAAAAAGAAAAAAAATTCTCAAAGGGAAATATTTTGCAGACATGGAAAAGGTGGAACAAAAAGCGGCAGAGGCACTAAAAGGCATCAAAACTGATGAGTTCAAAAACTGTTTTGAGCAGTGGGAAAAGCATCTCAATGTGTGCACTGCATCAAATGGACAGTGCTTTGAAGGTGACTGAAGTTTAAGCATGTCAGAATAAATACGTAAATGTTTATAAGTAAATTCTGGGGGTTTTTGGGGGGGTCTTCTTCATACATCATGCCAGTGATAGCAACAAAATTACGTCTATGTCTTTTTCTTTTTTAAAAATTATTTTTAGTTTTATTTTTGTTTGCATCTCACTCTGTCACCCAGGCTGGAGTGCAGTGGCATGCTCAAGGCCACTGCAACCTCGACCTGCTAGGCTCAGGTGATCCTTCTGCCTGCAGTTGGAACCACAGGTATGCGCCACCATACCTGGCTAATTGTTTTTGATTTTTTGTAGAGACAAAGTCTTGCCAAGTTGCCCAGGCTGGTCTCGAACCCCTGGGCTAAGGCAATCCTCTCACCTCCACCTCCCAAAGTGCTGGAATTACAGGTATGAGCCACTGCAACCGGCCTCTTTTTTTTTTTTTGGCAAATACATGGATTTATTTTTATTTATTTTTATTTAAAAAAAATTTTTTTTTTGAATTGAAGTCTCACTCTGTCGCCCAGACTGGAGTGCAGTGGCTGCTCCCAGTCAGCACAGCCTCAACCTGCTGGGCTCTGGTGATCCTTCCGCCTCAGCCTTCCAAGTAGCTGGAACTACAGGTGTGCGCTATCAGGCCTGGCTGATTTTTTGGTTTATTGTAGAGATGAGGTCTTGCCAAGTTGCCCAGGTGGGTTTCGAATCCCCGGGCTCAGGCAATCCACTCACCTCAGCCTCCCAAAGGCGTGGGATTACAGGCTGAGCCACCGAGCCTGGGTTAAAATTTTTATTATAAAGATGTGGGGTACAATTCAGGGTTAGGTATATAAACATTGATCATGTAGTTACCCTTGTTGATGAGGTATGCCCCTCCCTCCCCTAGCAGTTTCCCTCAACTGCCAATCCTACCCCCTGACTTTTATTTTTATTTAAAAAATTTTTTTTATTTTAAAGATGTGGGGTACAATTCAGGGTTAGGCTTTTTTTTTTTTTTTTTAAAGAGACAAGGTCTCACTTTTATCACCCTGGCTTATGTATAGTGGTACAATCATAGCTCACTACAGTCTCAAACTTCTGGGTTCAAGCAATCTCCCACCTCAGTGGCTGGCACTACGGGTCTGAGACACCACATTTGGCTAATTTTTTTTTTTTTGGTAGAGACAGAGTCTCACTATGGTGCCCATGCTACTCTCAAACCCCTGGCCTCAAGCAGTCCTTCTGCTTAGCTTCCCAAAGATCTGTGATTATAGGAATGAGTCACTGCACCTGGCCTAAGAAAAATAATGTCTTAAATAACTGTAGGTCTTTAAGAAAGAAAGAGTATGAACCCTCTCAAGACTTAACCAGAGTTTTAGTCTGTCACTGGCAAAGAGTTATATGAATGCATCTATACTCCCGAGGGTACACAGACTAAAATCACTGCTGGAGATATTCAGGCCCAATGAATACAGAGCAAATGCAACTGGTCAGCACCTCATTCCTCTAGTTCCGCTAGTTCACCACCACGGGCAGAGATCCCTCTCGAAGAACGGCCCTGCCCCTCTTCCTGTCCCCGTCTCAAAACTGGGAGTGCCCCCGTTTCCTTTGCTCACATCCACTTGCCACAGCCTGTCTGTTGCCTCTGTATTATCTTTTTTTTTTTTTTTTTTTGAGTCAGAGTCTCACTGTCGCCCAAGCTCGTGTGCAGTGTCACGCCCAGGGCCACCGGCAGCCTTGACCTGCAGGACTCAGGTGATCCTTCTGCCTCCGTCTTCCAGGTAGCTGGAACTACAGGCATGCACTACTACACCCGACTAATTTTTTGTAGAGACGAGGTCTTACCAAGTTGCCCAAACTGGTCTTGAACCCCTGGGCTCAGGCAATCCCCTCCCTTCAGCCTCCCAAAGTGCTGGGAGGACAGGCCTGAGCCACCATGCCCGGCCAACTGCATTATCTTTTTAATATCCTCTCTCCTTCTCACTCCTGGTGTCACTGCCTTGTCCTGCTTAGGCAGGTGCTTCCCGACTGTCTCCTAACTCCCTTTCTTTCCGTTCTTTTAACCCTTCTGCAGGTTGCAGCTACCATGCTCTTTCTTGCTGGGCAGAGTCAGTCATGCCCTCACCTGTCCTGGACCTTTGGGGCATCCCATGGCCTTGCATGTCCCAGGGCACACATGTGCTTAGGTCTAAGAAGATCAAGATTCTACCACCAGTTCCCTGTCTATTCCTGTGACAGAATCTGAGAGTGCTTGCCGCCCCTGCTCACCTATGTACGCTCACTTTTCAAAGTCAAACTAAAAACTCCATGTCTTTTATGAAGACTTCTCACATTCCTACAGTGCAACCAACTTCCTTTTCCTTCATACTCAAGTTGGTTTAACTTTTGTCTTTATTTTAGCTCTTATCACTTTCTACTCTGTATTATAAAAACTTTAGATCTTTTCTCTCTCCTTTTGGGCTGGAATTTTCTTGAGGGCAGAAATCATATTTCTTATTCTTCATGTATCTATCAGGGACCCCAGCTCATTGTACCAAGTTGAATTAATCAACAGCCATTTATTCAGCCTTTGGAGGAAAAGATGGTATAAGGCATAGTTCCTGCCCTTGGGGCAATGGCAGGTATTAAAATGTTTTATGCACGTAGTTAAAAAAGTAAGACCTATGTATTGCTGCAAAGTATAGACGTGGAAGAGGAATTAATAGTGTCTCAGTGAAGTTCTACATTAGGACAAGAACAATGAAGGAAAAGAGGGAGGGAAGAAGGAGGCATCTACCCTAGGAAAGCTTATTGCTCAAAATGTGCCACCAACTCAGCAGCCCGGGCAGACTGTGGTCTTGCTCTCGCTCCTCTATTCCCTAACCCCTCCCAAACGAGGGGCCACTTAGCATTTCTTCTTTCCCACGCTACTCATTGCTGAAAGCGGAAGGCAAGGGCTTGGAACGGGGTGTAGAGTCAGGCGTAAGGCACCAACTATGGGGCACATGTTTTGGTGGTGCTGTGGGTAGATCTGTGCCCCATGGCGTCCTCGGGACCACAAAAGGGCATGCAGGCTCAAACGAGAGTTGTCATGGGCTCTCTCAGGCAGGTTCTGCGAGGGAATGAGGCCAGAAAGCCCTAAGGCCCCACTCGTGGGAAATGGGTTCACCTCCCTCCTGCGCTTCTACTGTGGCTCTGGTCATGGGTAGTCTTGGGAGAACTAAGACAGTCACGCTGTAATCTTCAGGTTCTGCAATTCCAATGCGGAACCAGTTGCGGGTCTAACGAACTGGGTGAGGTGGGGGTCAATCACTCTCACAGTGGGCCTATGGCACTGCAGGAAACAGTGTCAATTCATTCTGAGATGATCTGTTTCTGAATCAGAGTTGCACACTCTAAGCTGACTAGCTGGCTCAGAAACCAGTCTCGTCTAATGCAACAGTTTATGAATCATCTATGTTTGTGAAGTACACATACATGTCCTACCTGCTCCGACCCTACCAAATAAAAAACTGCCTTGGCAACATGCATACACACAAGGATTTCTTCTCTTTCAAATACCAATGGTAATTTTGGAAATTCTTCTGCAATTCCAAGAATATCTGTCCTAGGAACAGTAGTATGGAAAAATATTACATTGTTTTCATATATTTTATAATGAAGTAACTTCAGTTTTCAAGACTAACCTATACTCAGTTTACTGCACTTAAGACAGCAGGCAAGTAGCCACTTTCAGGAGACAGCTCTTTCTCAGAGAGAAGGAAGGTTCTCAGCTCCATTTCCTACCTGCCCCCTCAGCTCCTAAGAACTGTCTGCCATGCCCAGCTGATATTCATCCCGTTTCCTGCTTTCCCACTGGGCCTGGGCGCACAGGACACCCATAGCCACCATCTATCTGACATCTGTTCCCTCTCCACACACGAGCTCTGAAAGCTCAGTGCCATCTCCTCTCTGATGCAGCCTGTGTCAACCTCTCTTTCCTGCCAACCTTATACAAAGTGTGGGCCTCACATATTTCCAGTCATCCCCTATTCGCTTTTGTGATAATTTTGAAAAGTTTTAAAACAATCTCACATTTATTAAAAAGTTCTAAGAATTGTACAAAGTATTTTCCCCCTAAATTATTTAAGGGTAAGTTCTTGACACGATGCCCCATCATTCCCAAATAATTTGGGGCGTTTCCTACAAATAAAGACTTTCTCCTACATAACCACTCTTCAGCTACTGAGGGAAGAATATGAACCCTGATCTCCCCTCCACCCAAATGCTTCACCCATTGTCCTGGTAGGCAATGTCCTCTACAGCAAAAGGAGATCGTTCAGAATTGTGTTTCATTTAGTTGTCATGTCCCTGTAATCCACTGCTATCGGGAATGTTTCCTTAGTCTTTCTTTGACTTTCTTTCTTTCTTTTTTTTGAGTCGGAGTCTCTCACTCTATTGGCCAGGCTAGAGCTCAGTGGCACGCTCCCGGCCACCGCAGCCTCGACCTGCTGGGCTCCGGCGATCCTTCCGCCTCAGCCTTCTGGTAGCTGGAGCCACAGGTGCACGCCACCACACCGGGCTAATTTTTTGATTTATTGTAGCGATGAGGTCTCACCAAGCTGTCCACGCGGGTCTCCAACTCCTGGGCTCAGGCAATCCTCTTGCTTCCACTCCCCAAAGTGCTGGGATTACAGGCATGAGCCACCAGGCCCAGCTGCCTTGGCTTTCATGGCCCTGACATTTTAGGAGGACCCAGGCCAGCTGTTTTGTTGAGCATAAACGCTCATTTTGGGTTTGTCTGATGTCTTCTCATTATGAGATTCAGCTAAGGCATCACTGGTAAGAATAACACAGAGATGATGCTGTGTGCTTCTTTCTTTTGTTTTTGTTTCTTTTCAGAGACGGGCTCTCACTATGCTGCCTAGGTTGGAGTGCATGGCTACTCACTGGCGTGATCATAGTGCATTGGAGCCTTGGACTCCTGGTTCCCTCCCACCTCAGCCTCCCAAGCAGCTGGGACAACAGGCATGCTCCACCACACCCAGCTCCTAATTACATTTTATGAGCTGGCACATTATCTTGGCTTGTCCCACTACTGGTGATGTTCGCTTTTTAAAACTTGACTAAGGTGATGTCTATCAGGTCTCTCAAATGTAAGTTACTCTTTTCCTTTGGAAATTAAATAATACTATATGGGAGATACTGCGAAACTGTAATATCCCATTCCTTATCAAATTCTGAATTCATTTGTTTTTATATCAGTGTAGACCCACAGATTCTTACTGAATGTGTTATAATCCATAACTATCATCTATTTTGATGCTCAAATTGCCCCAGAGTTGGCTAGTGGAAGTCTCGTTGAGAATGTTCTTTTTTTCTGACATAACAATTTCAAGGATCATCTTGTTCAAGGATCATCTTGTATTTTCTCTCATCTAAACCTGGAATCAGCCCTTTTGCCAAGAAGCTCTGGTTTCCTTCAGGTACTTAGAAACTGCCAACTGGTGCTAAATGTGCTCATTGCTAATGATATATCACTGTCCCAGGACCTCGGAGTAGACAGAGCTGGGGCATGTGTACATACACACACACACACACACACACACACAATATCTCACACATATAAACACACATTGACTTCTGTTCATCCATCCATCCATCTCCATCCATCTATCCAACGAAAATCATAACTTTGCACCATCTTTAATTATGATCAACCACCACTGAGTTCATTTTCGTTTTCTCCCTTTCTGTAGTAGTGACTCACAGTTCCCTCAAACTCAACAGGTTTAAAACGGAACACATCTTCTTCCCAGCTCTGTCCAACTCTGCTCTCCCTCCTAAACGTCCAGTCTTATTTAATGGTGCCATCATTTATCTTGGTGCCCAAACCCCAGCATCCTTCTAGAGCCCTCCTTTTCCTTCACCTCCCACAACCGGTCACGTGCGGAGTGCTGCATTTTGACCTCTTGTCTATGTCCAGGTATGTGCCATGTCTCCACACACCACCTCGCCCTATAAGAGGACTCAGGCTCTCTTGCTTCTCACACAGGCATTTTGAATCACTTCCCCCTGTGTTCCGGAATTTCTCATGGCTTGGTGGAAGCCATAGAGTAAAAGACCATGGCTTTCCAGGTCGCCTCGTGATCAGAACCCTGCCCGTGGCCTTCTCCCTGTCTGGCATTCCTCCGCAGCACGATGACCAGACACGCAGGCTCCCTGCCACTTCGCAGACACACCTCACGGCCTCTTCTCCGCACTTGCCAGAATGCTCCCCCCACACCCCTGTGTGGCTTGCTCAGTCATCTCCCTTGGGATTTTCCCTCAAATATCATCTTCTCGGTGGGCTTCATTAATTTTTATGTAAAAATAGCAACTCCTACACCTTCACTGCTCCTTATCCCCCTTTATTTGAAGTTATAACCATTATCACTTTCTGACATTGTAATCTGTGTGTCTGCGTGTGTAGTCTTCCCCCAAATAATAGAAGTTCCAAAGGCATATAGATTTTGTCATTTTAGGGGGGGCAGGGTCTTATTTATTGTTGTATCCCTACACCTAGAACAATGCTTGATACATAATAGTCTCACAGTAAATACGTGTTGAATAAATGTTTCAGCATGGCCTTAATTATATTAGAGTGGCTTAATATCACAGCATGATGTATATGTCATAATCAATTAAATAATGCTCCTATAGTGACATTTAGGCTGCTTCTATTTTTTCACATAATTATAGGCATTGCTACCATGAAAAGTGTGTGTAGTTTTTATTTGTTTCTTGTGAATTAAATTTCTAGGTATTATTGGGTCAAAGAGCATATCTTTACTGTTATGTTACTACACTTGATGTTAGCCAAAAGGCTGGGAAGTGATTTGCTATGTGTTATTTAGCAAATAACTTCCCAAGTAATGTAAGGTCTATAATCCCAAGAGCAACACCTGTGTATAAGGTGCTTTGACTTTTTCTGAATAAAGAATACAATATATATTTTATAGACCCACATTCATCATTTAAAGGAATAGAGGTGTATGGGGAGGAGGTTCCCTCCCTCCAGCTCTTGTCCCCCATTCTCCTAACTCCCATCTGTCCTCCACAGATAATTACTGTTATCAGTTTCTTGCATCTCCTTACAGAGTTACTTTACATATCAGTCCAAGGAAAATAGTGTTTCAAGCACCCCTCCATTCCTTGCTTCTTCTATTTACCCAA